GGCAAAATGCAAGGTAATGTATCCCCCAATGGAATATTATATCACAGTTAAAATAAACAAAGTAGAGCTATAAATCTCAAAAGCAACGTTGAGTGAAAAAAACTTCTAAAAGGTTGACATGATTTGTGCCATGTTTGAAATAAGTTAAAGCATGCTATGTATTTTATTTTTTAAAATTTTTATTTTTTTATTTTTGGCTGTGCTGGGTCTTCATTGCCGTGTGTGGGCTTTCTCTAGTTGCAGCGAGCGGGGGCTACTCTTTCTTGCGGTGCGTGGGCTTCTCATTGCGGTGGCTTCTCTTGTTGCGGAACACGGGCTCTAGGTGCACGGGCTTCAGTAGTTGTGGCACGTGGGCTCAGCAGTTGTGGCTCACAGGCTCTAGAGCGCAGGCTCAGTAGTCGTGGCGCATGGGCTTAGTTGCTCCACGGCATGTGGGATCTTCCCGGACCAGGGATCAAACCCATGTCCCCTGCATTGGCAGGTGGATTCTTAGCCACTGAGCCATCAGGGAAGCCCTGTATTTTAAATAAGTACTTACATACATAGTCATGGCGACAAAGATCATACTTGGGAATGAAACATCAAGTCTTGGATAGCAGTTATAGTTATGGTGGTATTTTGAGCCAGTTTGTACTGGCTTTTCTGAGCCAATTATGTACATCTCTTCCTAATTCCATGTTCAGTGACGTCTTCTTAGTAGCTTTAATCTGCAGTGATGGGTGTGTTTACACCAGAGAAACTGGCAAACACTATAAATCCCAGATTCCCCCTCCCTTGTCCTCACCCTGGAGAACTGGTACACCAGCACATCACTGTGCCATTCTCCACAGAGCGGGATGCAATTGGGAGGGGTCTATCAGGGGACTCAGCATTATTTGTAATGCCTTTATGCTTTCAAGAATCTCTAAAGCAGGGACTTCCCTGGTGACACAGTGGTTAAGAATCCACCTGCCAATGCAGGGGATACGGGTTCGATCCCTGGTCCAGGAAGATCCCACATGATGTGCAGCAACTAAGCCCGTGTGCCACGACTACTGAGCCTGTGCTCTAGAGTCCACGAGCCACAACTACTGAGCCCACGTGCCACAACTACTGAAGCCTGCGTGCTGCGCCTAGAGCCCGTGCTCTGCAACGAGTGAAGCCGCTGCAAAGAAAAGCCCACACACCACAAGGAAGAGTAGCCCCTGCTCGCCGCAACTAGAGAAAGCCCATGCATAGCAATGAAGACCCAAAGCAGCCCTAAATAAATAAATTAAAAAAAAAAGAATTTCTAAAGCAAATATGGCACAAAGGAAGGCCTTGATAGAGCAAGGGTGCTCCATGGGTGTTTATCATAGTACTCTATGCTTTCCTGTATTTTGGGAATATTTCCTAAAAAACAAAATCTAATCAGCTGAATTTTCCAGGCCAAAATAAACCCATTTTCTTTTTGCCCTCTTTAATTCTAGAGTTTTAAATCTTGCTTAGTTGGGCACAATAGTATTATATTATGTTGAGAAACCTGGACCTGAACTAATAACAGAAACTTTAAAATTATTTCAAGCCTTAACCATAGATTTGCCAGATAGCTGTATCTTTGAAATCAACTGAAGCAAGGTATAGAATAGAGGATTCATAAGAGGCATTAACATAAAAAGTCACATCAATACTCTTATTTAATCAAATGTAAGAGCAAAGACATTTGAGCTCTAAATTTAGAGTCCAGATTTAAGAGAAAGGAAATAAAAGTGAATAGGGACAAAACAGTACAGACAATTCCACTGTAAAAGGTAAACAGGAAGATGTTCTTGAAAAGAATTAAAAATAGTAAGAATACCAGTTGAGATTTGACAAAACCAGGTGTGTTCAAAGTAGGCTAGGTTGGATTTCTAGCTCTATGTCCTTGAGCAATGGACTTTCTACACCGATTCCTGTGTCTAATCAATGTGTATATATTTTTGCATCTTATCTACCTCAGAGCTAAGAGGATTAAATGAGACAATGCATGTTCAGGATATATAAAAATGTGATCTACAAAAGGGATAGGCATGAACACGGTCGCATGAATTGTGTCACTACACTGATGCCATGTATATCATCATCCTGACTCAGGTTTATATTCTAGTCACCTCTGACTTCCTCATTCACAGAACACCAAAGAGAGAAGAGAACAGAGAGAGAACCGACTCAGGAATATAAAGATCTTCTCCGTCTTCCAGCTTTTGCAGCCAAGGTCCCTTTTGGTTGACATCGGGGGCTACTTCAGGCTTATCTTTCTTTAAATTAGGAAACACATGAAGATGTAAACGCCGGGGAGTAGAAACCCTTTCCTGGACTATGGCATAAACCAAGACCCGAAAAGCAGGGCTCTACCCTGGCAGGAGGGCATGCCACTGGATGCCTGGGGGTTGCAGTCAGAGAAGCCCAGACTTGCATGAAGTGATAACGCACATAGAGCTGCATGGCCTCGGGCAAGAAGCAAGCCCTAGAGAAGCAGTCATTACAGTCAACTTACAGCCAAACCGCCAGAAGGCTTATGCCAGGGCCTCCCAGCATCTAGGCCTCGTTCCTCTTCCCGGGTTACTGTGCCATTGGTGGGATCTGGGCGGAAAAGCCACTCGGGCTCCTGGATTTTTAACCTCAGCCACTGCTAAATGGAAGCTTGCTCTAATACCAGCATGTTACTAATGGACACACAGACTCTAAATTCCCCAAATTCAATTTTTTTGTTTTGTGGCTGTACCACGTGGCTTGTGGGATCTTAGTTCCCCAACCAGGGATCAAACCCGGGCCCTTGGCAGTGAGGGTGTGGAGTCCTAACCACTGGACTGCCAGGGAATTCCCCCTATTTCAATTTTTTAATGCCCTTTCTCTATTTTCTTATTATTGTGTTTATTTTATCTAGACAGTGTTTCTCAACCATGGCCGCACATTACAAACATCTGAGGACGTTTTACAAAATCCTGATGCCGTGGTCCCACCCTAGACCTAGAAGTTCTAATCAGAACTTCTAGGAGTAGCAGTCATCATATTAAAAACAAAAAACAACCCCCCCCCCCCACCACCACCACACACACGATCCTTCCCAGATGGTTCCAGTGTGCAGCCTGGGTTGAGAACCACTATCCTGGAACGTGCAAATTGGTTTTCAAAGTCTACTGAGTCAGATGAAAAGAGACGTTGCAACACTGGCCTTTTTCATATCCCAGGCTTTCAAAATTAAGGGATGAGTTGATGTAATTCAAACATGTCTCCCAGAGGCCAGGCTTGGGCTAGGTGCTAGGGATCCACATGGAGGTTAGGGATGGCAAAGGAGATGTGGATCCTACCCTCAAGGAGCCCACACACACCAGCTTCAGTGAGCAAAGAGGGGAAGGATTTATAATTTGCGCTATGGCTGAGTCACCCAATGATAGGGCATTGTAGAACTTTACAAGGGGATTTTACTCTAATAAAATCAATGTCATCATCACTGGTTAATATTGTGCTGTTCACTCTGGCATTGAGTGCGGCACATGAAGTACGTCAGCTTACCGAAGCTTCGCAATAACCATGTGAGGTAGATATTCCTATTGTTTCCATTTGTTTCTTTATTCCACAAAAGTTTGGAGGGTCCCACGAGCCAGACTGCTTAAGGCACTTGGGTAGTAACAAAACTGTTAGATCCCTGCCCTCAGGGAGCGTTCTGTGAGTGGGGGTGGGGAGGAAGGAAACAACAGACATAAAAGTCAATCACAGAGTATGTTAGAAATTGCTAAAAGCCAGGAGAAAAAGAAAAAGTAAGCAGGTAAGGTGTGTGCTTAGGTGCCGGGTTAACATCATTGAGAGAGGAAGTTTTGAGCAAAGACTTGAAATGAGGAAGTTAGGTACATTCTACAGATCTTTCTCGAATTATGATGGGGTTATGCCCCAGTAAACCCACTGTAGGTTGAAAATGTCATAACTTGGAAATGCATTAAAATACACTTAATCTACCAAACACGAAAGCTGAGCTTCGCCTACCTTAAACGTGTTCAGAACACTTACATTAGCCTACAGTTGGGCAAAATCATTGAACACAAAGCCTCTTTCATACCAAAGTGCTGAATATCTCATGCAATTTACTGAATACGGTATTGAAAGTAAAAAACAAAAAGGTTGTAAGTGTATTGGTGTTTACCCTCGTGATGGCGTGCCAGACTGGAAGCTGCGGCTCACTGCCCGGGAAAAAATCAAAATTCAAAATCTGAAGTACAGTTTCTACCGAGCACGTCTTGCTTTCACACCATCGTACAGTCAGTCAAATCATGAGGTGAACCATCATAAGTCGGGGACCATCTGTATTCTGTTTAAAATTCCCCAAAGAATATATACATGGCTCAGCGGGCATGCAAACCCAGAGATGTTGGAAACCAGTCTATGCTCTTTACCTGCCTACTACCTGGTCTTCCAAGAAGTACCACAATACCTTATAAGAACTGATTTGCCTGCCCCATCCCCTTCGGCTCCCCGTCTGCCTTGTTTACTATGATGCTTTTCTAAGCCCACTGCCTGCTACACAGCAGGTACTCAATAAACGTTTGAATTAAATTAAGCATTGTAAATTTTAACTATTAATTAATCTGAATTCATATCTGTTATGATTAAAGTATTTATTGTGTGTTTACTCCCTCCTGCCCATTCCCTAGGCAGAAGAAAACTTTCAGAAAATCCAGCGGAGGTGGGGTTGCTGGAGACCAAGCCAGCGTATATTTTTGGATGCCCTGTTCAAGTTCTATTGTGGAAGAAAGATGCCTCTGCTCTGTCAGGGTGAATAGGTCTCTTCTCTGAGCCAGGAGGACGGAGCGGGATGGGATTTTGGATAAATGTGAGACTCATATACAAACAAGGATGTTTCCAGGTAGAAGATTTCACAGCATGATAGGCCACAAAAATCTATGAAGTCAAATCAGGGATTTCAAGTAAGTTTTCTTAGGCCACATTCATTTGAGAAAAATCCGTAATGTTCTTATGTGAGAACCATCTTTTGAGGATTAGCTTACCTATTAAAGTGGTAGATATCCCGTATGTTTCCAAAAAGGGCTGATCTTTCTTCCGCCCCCAGAGGAAGTTTCATTTGGTCCCTGATGCACTCAAGGTAATCCTGTGGAATCAATGAGAAGAATGTCTTAAACACTCCTGTCCTTTTTCAAGTCGTCTTTAGTTATGCATGAGGAATCTCTCATATCCGTTACAAGTAATTATTATACTAATGTGCTCATTAACTCTACCGTGAGAAGGCAGAATCTCTCTTTTATTAATAATGAAATACTTCCCTACGTATAGAACAGGGAGTTTGAGCAAGGAGAAAGAGTGTATGTACATGGACATACCTACGCCCAAAATGTACTAGTGCATCCCTAGATGCATAACATAATGACCACAGTTACTGATAGAGTCAGAGTTTTGGCATACAACATTGCCTGCTGTCTCCTTGACTGATTTATGTGATAAAAAGAGACTCTAAAATTCATACAGTGGGAAACCAGAAATAAAAATTCTGAAATTTGGGAATTCCCTGGCAGTCCAGTGGTTAGGATGCAGCGCTTTCATTGCCATGGCCTGGGTTCAATCCCTGGTCATGGAACTAAAATCCTACAAGCCATGTGGTATAGCAAAAAAAAAAAAATTCTGAAATGTGATACAGTTGTTTTAAACATAACCTTTTAAGTCAGAAAGCTATCAGCTGCTAAAGTCTAGAACTAAATTATCCTCAAATACCAGATTATTAAAAAAACTTTTTAAAATAAAATAAGCATGTCACTCACTTATACTATCCAATAGGCCATGTAAAGAAGCCACAGTCAGCTTGAAAGGATTTTATATATTTTAACATGGAAACAGCTCCCCATGGAGCTAACGTGGGCTCAGACCCACAGTGGGTTAAATGGACGTGGCTTAGAAGCTATTTGAACTGCTGAGAGAGGGGAAATCTGCTCTCCACGCTGTGTGCTGAGTCCATAACTGAGTGTCCCCCTTCCCCCAGCCAGGCTTGAAAAGAGAACTCTGTAGGAGGCAAGAAAACAATAAAGAAAAAAGTGAAAACAGCTGAAATAACGTAAAATCAAAAATAAATACAGTTCTCCGCCCTGGGCTGAACAATGCAGTATGGCTCTCCACCAAACGTCACCCAGGGATCTGCAGCACTGGGGAAGTCACCCTGGGAAAAGTCAGCCAGACCGTGAAAATCCCAGCACTCAACCACATTCCGATGGCCAATCGCAAACACAATACTGTTTCAGCGCAACTAGTGAAACGAGAAGCTGAAATGTAAGAACCATCAGATAATTGTTGCTTTTGTCTTTTAATAAGCCACAGCCACCCTCTCATGCCCTTCATGTTCCTCAAATGAAAAACAGGCCAGGCTTCGTCAGGAACTGTCTCCGTAGCATGGTTCACAGACTGCGGCATATAACTTACCATTCTGGTTCTTTATTGCTAAAATCATGGTCATGCAGGAACCAATGTTCATAAGCCTTTTTATGTTTTAACAAGGTTGGTGGTAACATCTTTTCTTCTTCAGAAAGTGGTCATCTCAATAAGAAATTAGACTCTCAAGGTTTAAGTGTAATTGTCATTAAAAACCCACAAGAGCAAGACCCAGCCTCCTTACTTTTATGAGCGGAACCGTCATAAGGAGCTTATGGTCTGTATAGGCTGTAGAGATAACGCCCAAATAAGAAATGCTAAAGAAGGCTAGAATTGAAGAGTGCATTTTGAACAAGTATAAATCTAACTTAGGCTTCCTCAAAAAAAAAAAAAAATGTATTCCTTGATAGTTTCATAAAATTACACGTGGCACAAAGAGATGGGCTAATATTTATCTGCATTGAATGCTTATATTTGATAGTTGTTTAATACTTTGATCAACATTTAAAAAGGACACGTCACATGCAAAATTAAGAAGGTAAAACAAAGGTTATAGATGAATACGAAATCGAAAAGTGAAACAGAAGGATATTGGCAGGCGTGATCCACACCGAACAGCAGTGAGAAGATTGGGACATAGATGACGCATACATTCCAGACTCACCTGGCCGGCCGCAAGGGGGTTTAAGGAGAAAAGGAAGAATCCTTTTTCTCACTTCAAATGCAAAGCTGGTTCATTTTGCAGAAACCTGATACTAAATTCTTCATGTCATGGAAAGACTGAGTTAAGGGGGTTGAAGAATTTCATCTGGGGTGAGACACAAAGAACCATGGCCCACTTCCAACAGAGGATGGCCCATCTCCAAATGAGTTTCAAAACCCCAGAGTCCGTGGTAGAGGAACTAGATTTTAAACGCTGCTTGTTTTCTGAAATCGTTGAGAAAATAGATCGTTAGGAGTCCAGATTTTTGCAGGCCACTCTAGAAAACAGATCAAAGCCATATGGCCACAACGTGTTCCCCCTCTGATCATAACTAAGTCTTTTAAATATGATACTTTAACCCTAAACCAGTTACTGAAAACTACTGTAGCATGCACTGCATTAGCAGCTGTAATTATCTGAAGCCAAAATGAGAGGTTTGAAGCTCAGTGATAATAGTTCATTCTGTGCTCAAATGACAGAGGAAAGACACCAATGAAATTTATTAGAGCCTGTCACGCTGCTTTTTAATTTTATTGGCTTGATGTCAGCACCTATGGTTACCCTACAGTTAACAATGAAAGATAAATTTAAAACTTTTGCGCCGAAAACAATTATTCTCCAAGAGGATCAAAGAATTCACTCAATTTTGAGAAGGGTAGGGGGGAGATACAAAAAACAGCGTTACACCATTTGAAAAAATTTTTACTATACTACTATAAATTTTACCTAAAGTATTTTTCTCATCAACACCTCCACCACTGTAAGATTTGTACACGTGTGCCCTCTTTTCGATAACTTTTTCATTCCTGTGATGTCTGTTATTGAAAATATCCAAGTAAAGTTGAACTCGGTGCTATTTGAAGTATAATAAATGGACAGGAGCCAGTTTGCAAACTGTTACTGATCTACAAGATAGATAAGTGCAGAACTTGAGAGAAAGTATGTAGAAACTTTTATAGCATTTTGACAGAATGATATTTGTTGAATCTAATGATAAATTTGGGCTTGTATTTTGCATGTCTGATATCTTCTATTTGGTTTTTCTAGTAATTCATTTTTTGTGGTGTTTTACAAAAGCGTCAGTGTGTGGCCAATAGGAAAACACACACACACGCGTGCTTGTCCCTCATCACAGATAGTTTGAGAAGGTCTGGTCTAGACAACAGTCCAGCAGAGATGCTGGAGAAAGGATGCTTCCAGAACTGGGACAGAATTCAAACTCAATGCCCTCGGTAGCTCGCTTTATTTCTTTAAGATGCCCTGAACGAATTAAGCTAATACCCCCGTGCCTGTCTCCCTTTTTTCCTCTAAAATAACGTTTAAAATTGTAATCTGTTTAACATGAAAATGAAGATAAACCACAAGAAGAGAAAAGATTTATTTAGATCGGTACTTAATACTTTTTCTACCCTATATCCTTCTTGAAGATACATTGTAGAAACAAAATGAAGAAAATGTCCTGTTCTTAAGTCCTCTTGCTCAGGTTTCAAAATTCTATCTCTTTGGCTTCCTTTTTTTGGTCTAGTTTTTGTGTTAGCACTTCCAAATTCTAAGCCCTTTGTTATAACTCCTGTGTAAGATTTTTGGTCTTTATTTTGGAGGATGCATCTTCTTCGGTTTCTCCAACTCATCCACCTTTACTAGAAAGTAATCATTTGTATATACAAAACCTGTCTCCAAATTTCATGTATTACATTGGGATGCTGTTGATACTACAATAACTTACATTTGTGTGTCAATTTACAGTTTAAAAAGCACATTCACATTTATTCATACAAACCCTCCTTCCCTCCTCTTTTTGAGGTCATAAGAATGCATGCCAAGTTCTGTTTTACAAGCTAGGAATTAAATAAAATGAATAAAACATGATCCCTTCCCCCAAGGAGTTCCCTGTGTAGTTGAAAGACAAGTATAAACAAATAAGTACACTACAGTGTTTAGGCAGCATGACTGGTAAATATTCAGCACATGGGAGAAGGCAGAGGAGGAAGTGGGCAATTCCAGGTCACGGAGAAGTCTTCTAGAGAAGGTGATGGTGCAGTTGAATCTTTAAGGATGACCAGGGGTTAGAACAGAGAGAAACTAGGAGACACAACACCCAGGAAGATTGAAAAGAGTAAAGGGGCACATGGTAACGAAATGCAGGGTGCAGTCAGGACACTAAAAGGAGCTGAGGGGCTTCCCTGGTGGTCCACTGGTTAAGACTCCACGCTTCCAGTGCAGGGGGCTTGGGTTTGATCCCTGGTCGGGGAACTAAGATCCCACGTGCCACATGGCGTGGCCAATAAAATAAAACAAAATAAAATAAAATAAAAGGAGCTGAGATGGGCTGAGGAAGCAGGACATGCGCATGTACGCAGACCCTGGAGTGGGGCTGCAAAGTGAGAGAGGTTACAGTCAGAAGAGGATTGAGCACGGAGAACCTTCTGTGCTCTTAGGTGGAGGCAGCCACCGACAGATGCCATGAGACCAAAGATCATCCCAGCATCAGAAAATAGAACATTAGCTATAAAACTGCCAGTTTGGAGGCCAGTTAGACCCGGACAGCAGTGCAGGTAAGACCGGAGCCAGTCCTCCACAAGTTCCACAGACTGGAGCTGTATTTACTTAGATGTGGAGACCGGGAGAAAGGGGCCAGTCAAAGCAGACAGCTTTCAGGAGAAGGGAGTCTCTTCTCTCACCTTCAGCTCCGAGGAGGAAGGTGCTGCTCTCCCGGCTCTCAGCAAGGACACTGCCAGCGTCTCGTCTCCTTGTCCCGTTGGCTGCAGCTTGGAGAGAGCTGGGGGCTCCCTCCGGGGAGACGTCTCCACCAGCTTTCATCCTCCCGAGTTTCTTTCCCAGGTGGCTGGTGAGGGAAAGCTAACCCGCAGAGGCCTTGGCAGGGCGGTTCTCGGCCTTTCCAGCTGACTGAGACCTGCACTGGACTGCCTCACACCCACATCAAACGCTTGAAGACATCTCTGGGGGTTCATGGTAAAAAGGAGACAAGGCATATCTTTTGGCCTCGCGCATCCACATGGTAGGTCTTCATG